ATTGACGAACGACTTAAGATACCATAACTCGCTTAAGAAACGTAAAAAGTGTCACGAATCCATAAAAACGGGCTGGGAGAGAAACACACTCCTGTATTCAACAGATAGATAAAGATAATTGTTATTTCTCAACATATTTGAACCTCTTGAGTTATTTTATTATTTTCTTTTACTTACGATTGTGCGGTATCACCTTTACCCCGGATTCAGCTTGCACTACGGCCCGACGCCTGATTGATTTCGTCTACCTAAGATCAAAATCACAACGTGGGTAGTTTAGACTTGAGATCAAAGTAGTTACTTCGGTAACCAGACGTTGGAAGTGAGCTGGGAACGACAAGTTGGTATCGAACCGGGAACGACCAGATCGACCGCGACACAGGCTGGTGGCAGCGACAACGAGTCAACCCCAAACGCTGGTGGAAGAAACCTTACAGCTTCGCGCTGCAACTGGGAGTTGACCACGGACCGACGGCGCAGTGTCATATATTGACGTCGCAACCAGTGGACGTCACATATTGGCGCTGGACTGCGACCGCGACCACCAGTGGGTGTCACAGCCCTGCCAATACCTAATAAATAATTCCGTTTTGATCCCGTGGAAAGAGGGGAGAAGACGCTAATTGTTTTCACTGAGAAAATAAAAGCAAAAAAGAAAGAAAATAGGAAGGTAGAAGTGGAGAGAGAATCAGATTAAGCTTATAAAAACAGATATTACACTTTGATCTTAACTAAAAGGCCGAGAAGTGATTGTATTTTCTTGCCGTCTAACACTGGCAGAATGTCACTCAAACTCAGTTTAATGTGGGAAGTCCGAGCGCGTACACCCGATAAAAAATAAATAATCCAATAAGTAAAAGAATGCCCCAAAGCGATGTATAGTCAATACTTCGAACGTCTTCTGCTGTCTATAAATTTTTATATGGTTTACAGATATATGGTTAGAAAAACTATTACTAGCTGAAATTATGCGTCACCAACCTAATATTTAATCATAATAAAGGATTAATAGAAAATGTATTTTTGCAAGAACTGTATATCTGGAATGTAGAGGCTACTTTTACAAAAAGCAATGAATGTATGCCACAAAAATTCAAAGTTCGCGCATATCGATTTAAACACAAGGTCTAAACTTTGATTCAATCCCAATTAAGAGTAAATATAGAAAATAACGTTGTTTATGACTCTCAAAATAATTTCTAAGCTCATCACGTTTTTGTCGTAAGGGAAAATCTGTTGCCTTAAAATGATAGGATAAATGTCCATAAGTTTTAGTATCAGGTTTTGTAAATGTCAACATAGTCATTAAAATATCCTATCACTCGTCTAGTAAATGTTGAATTATGTTTTTAAATTTTTTAAATGGGAATATGCGAAGAATTAAAACACCATTTACCTGTCTTTAAAGTATATTTAAAAATTAAAATTAATAATGTGGTGTAATGGATAGCTGCTCGGCTTGAGGAATCGGAGAGCAAAGTTCGAATGCCAGTTGAATCCATTACATTCACTTTCGTGCTAATACACTTGGGTTATGAATCCTTATCTTCTCCCCCAGCTATGGGTAAATAGCAGGATAGATCGAGTTCTGTAGCCTTGGATGTCAACTGGTCTACCGCCGTCTACCGCCGAAAGAAATGGCAGACTACTACGAGGAAAAATGTGCCTCGTCAGTCATGTATCGAAAGGTACATGATCGCCTAAGCGTGTATCACGCATGGCACAGAACTAACTGACTGATATTTATCTTTTCGTACATTTTCGATTGATTCATTCTGAGAAGAAAATGGAACCTTACATTTGAAAAAGATAAAAATTTATTTTATGTGTGTGTATATGCCTGATAGAGAGAGAGAGAAAAAAAGAGAGAGAGAGAGACTGTGTCATCTCTCTCTATCAGACCCACACACTCACACATACGCATACATACTCACACATAAAAAAGGAAATTATCACTAAATAAAAATAATATTTTATGAAGGCCTGAAACGAAATATTTTTGTAAAAAATCAAATATTTGGTTCTGTCCAAAATAATTTTTCGGAAGAATAAAGGGAAAGTATTTTTTAAAATTCAGCTGAGATTTGACAGAAGCATAAAAGAATATAAAAACGAATTCATTTTGCATAATGTTCAACCATTATTAATTCGTCACAACAGTGACAGACTAAAATAGAGACAATAACTAATTTTCAAGTTGAACATTTACATCTTGTTCATTCATTTGCATTACTAACATCGTGATTAAGAAAAAAAATTAACCTTCACGTTTTTATTATACCGCTAAGACATTTCTGCATAGTAACATCACTGGGTATTTAGAATTTTTCTTGGAAGAAAAATAACAATGTTTTAATGGCTGTCAAAGAGCCGATAGTCACATATCTAAGAATCAAAGAACGAAGGACGTAATTAATTATTATTATCTATTACTCAAATATTCGGAACAATTTCTCTAAACTTTATATTTGCTGTGATTTTGAATAACATTTTCCCTTAACGATCTTCCCTTTAAAAACAATAACAATTCAGAGACATATAAATAATATATGCTCTAAAGAAAGTTTGAATGTTTTATTATACCGCTAAAATAGAGTACTGTGATCATATTTGGACGGGATCTGCCCAGACCTTGATAGATTCCAAAAGTGTCTTCCAGTCATTGTAAGTGACGAATTATTCTCCAACTTCCAAACACACTCTCACATACGGGATAGGTGCTGTATCGCTACTTCCACGGAAAGTGCTCGGACGGACTACATTCACTGGTCCCGCCAGGTCCCACCTTTTAACAGCTATGACACGCCATGCCACTTATATAGCAGAAAACAACCCGCATTCCCTCTGTATTCCATCAGTAAGACGTAAGTTCCACTCTAACAGCTTCTTCATGCAAACCACTGCTCTGTGGAACCGACTCCCAAGAGGATGCTTCCCCAATCACAACAATTTTAACATGTTCAAGGCTAGGCTTAACTGTTAACTTCCACTCCTATACACACAAATGGCTTCCTAACGTAACGCTCTACCACAAGTGCCCCCACCCGGACCTTGTAAAGGGTGAACCTTACTGTAAACAAAGCTCTCCGCGTTCAAAGGTACGTTTCCAATGCGTGTAGCATTACTAACATAACTTCCCGAATGAAAAACAAATCATATCAGTGTTTCACAACAGTATATGCTGAAATTTATCTTTGAATACTATTTTCAAAGTGACTTTTTAAAAAGTCTTCGCGAAAATCTAATGTTATTAATAATGTTTTTTTTTTTAATTCGACCGCTTCTTAATTACTGAAAAATAAAAAATTAATCATTAGTTAAACATTTTTGACTTCTCGAATTCATGAAAATCGACCGTGTAAAAAAAAGAGAACAATAGATCCACTTTGAAAGGCACTTTTTGATTCTTTGAAAGCGGAAATACAGGAAGATTTCAGGAAAGCCTGTTTCTATTTCATCATAAGTTTACAATTATTCCTACGCACATCAGTAACGAAGAAAACGTTTACTATAAACAGAATATTTATTTTTCAATTTTTTATATTTAAAATTTCTGAAAATATAAAAACTTAAACATCAATAATAAATTGAAATTTCTCCATAAAAGTCGACTGTGCGAGCAAAGTACAAAGAAATGATTGCTAAGATATCTCATTTCTCGCTTTGATATACACAATTCTTGGTTCTTTGAATGGTGAAAATGTCGAGAAAAATTTCAACACCGACGTATTTAAGTGTTTAGAATTCATTAATTCCACATTCAGAATGAGGATGATGGATTCAGAGTATGTGTCATCATTGATTGATGTTGGTTTTTTGTTCAAGATCACTTTTATCACGAATGTGAATATCTATGACAGAGCACAGGTATGTGAATTCATACCTAAAGCAAAATCAGCAGAGCCCAGATTTAGACCCTCATATACTGGCTAATTATCTTTATTTTTACATACATTCTCCCTTTTCCTCCCTCTCTCTTTCTTTCTTTCTTTCTTTCTTTCTTTCTTTCTTTCACAACGGTCTCCACATCTATCTATCTATCTATCTATCTATCTATCTATCTATCTATCTATCTGAGTTCTATGTCTAATCATTGGCTCTACGATTTATTAATATTTTATAAAACAGAAATAACTATTTTCTAAAGAACGAAAAGTATTCCTCATCATAAACGTCATCTTTTATTATTGTAACCATTAGTGGCAGCTGGTACAATACCAGCTGTGTGTTGATTCATGTCAAGTGTTAAAACTGTCACAGTACTAAGTTGAAATGTTGATTTTATTTCCTCGTCGTACATGTTCTTAATGTCATGTCCCTCTGCCAAAAAAGCATTTTATTCATTTCTTAATAAATTTCTTAATTTTACTAATTTATTATCAACTAACCCTAAAATAATTTTGACATTTTTCAACAAGTAAGAAAATCAGAGATTTAAGCAAATATAAAAACAATATATGGAAACATCTATAATAATCTTCCTTCGATAATGACTTTAAATTTTTAAAGCCTCATTCATAATCTCTCATAACTCATAACTTTCTTCAGCGATTATAAATCGAGATGATAATAAATTTTATTCGTGGATGACAAAGAAATTAAATTAGGATTTTAAATTTGTATTTCTCATTATTACATCAGACCTTTGTTAATTAAATGAACTTACATTAAAAAAAATTCGTGGAATAAAAACTGATTCCTGACTTCAATCAGCGAAAAGTACGTATTGGATAATTGAACTAATTATTTATTTATTTATCAACTGAGACAGATTTTGTTAATATTTTTAATTCTGAATATGAAACTCTCCTCAGCTATGTTCCAATTGATCTAAATGACGAAATAAATAATTTCCTATAAGAAATATTTGTCTTAGAAAGCATATAGACATATTCATTAACTTTGTAATTAAAATATTAATCAAACCACTTCCAAATTTCATGGAATTCTCAAAACTTTCTTGATTTACCATGTAGCTCTTACTATATTATTTTGAGTTTTACGGCCACATTACGTTGAAACACCGATTCCCGTAAGATTAATGAAGTTAAGCAACGTCGAGCCTAGTTAGTATTTAGATGGGTGATCGCTTGGGTATAACCAAGGTCCGGAATTGTTAATCGATGAGATGAATTCCAATTCCTGTTGGGTTCGTTATATTCACTTGCGAGCAAATAACCTAGGGAAAGTATGAATCCACCTCTTCTCCTCCAGCTATGGGTTAATTAGTAGGACTTATATCACTAAATCAATATCATCTCAAAAAATTCTTACAATCTAAAATTATTTTCTGGCTTTAAATAACCTGCGAAGGGTTGATAAGCCGTAGAAAACGAATTAATCAAAAATGTATTATTTTTAATAGATTTCACAAAAATATCTTTAGTTCTACACTCCCTGTCTCTCTCTCTCTCTCTCTCGTTTTACATTACATAAGTATATCAATAAGTTAGTATCCTAATAATGAAAAATCATTTTACTGAACAAATATTTATTTTTCAACATAATCTCATTCATTGTCAAAGCACTGAACTTATTCAGCGATTAATATTAATCCCATACGCAAGTATATCAGTAAATAGTAAGTACATAGCTTAGCGATGGAAAAAAAGTAAGTATTTTATTTAACAAATATTTATTTTTCAACATAATTTAATTTCCTGTAGTTGCATTTGACTAAATGGTAAATAATACTTACATAGATTAAAATACTGAAAATTTCGGATCAAAAACTCAGCTGACAAATACGTCAGGCTATGGATTTATTTATTCATCCTTTTATAATGTACTTTTTAGTTTCTTTTTGTGTTACCAAGTTTCACTTTAAATATTTTGTTTTAGAACAGTTTTTGTTGAAAAATCAACGAAAACGTATTTTAAGTTTGCATTAAATATTTATCATTCGTTAATTAGATATGTTATCAAGCCCACCGAAAAAATGCAGTATTAATTATAATAATAAAAATCCGGTATTACTTATAAACATCTAAAAGCCAGTATTTAATTTATTAAACAAATTTGGTATTAATTACAGTTTTATAAAAATCAGATATTAATTAGGGTTTTTTACATATTTTGAGGCTTATATTGAAAAACCGGAATGTCATTGAAACATCGTATATATTTTGAGGCTTACAGTCACATCACGTTGAAACACCGGAATGTCACTGAATCGTCTTATATATTTGTGAGGTTTACGGTCACATCATGTTGAAACACAGGAATGTCACTAAATCGTCTTATATATTTTGAGGCTTACGGTCACATCACGTTGAAACACAGGAATGTCACTGAATCGTCTTATATATTTTGAGGCTTACGGTCACATCACTTTGAAACACAGGAATGTCACTGAATCGTCTTATATATTTTGAGGATTACGGTCACATCACGTTGAAACACAGGAATGTCACTGAATCGTCTTATATATTTTGAGGCTTACGGTCACATCACGTTGAAACACAGGAATGTCACTGAATCATCTTATATATTTTGAGGCTTACGGTCACATCACTTTGAAACACAGGAATGTCACTGAATCGTCTTATATATTTTGAGGATTACGGTCACATCACGTTGAAACACCGGAATGTCACTGAATCGTCTTATATATTTTGAGGCTTACGGTCACATCACGTTGAAACACTGGAATGTCACCGAATCGTCTTAAAGATTTTGAAACTTACGGTCACATCACGTTGAAACACAGGAATGTCACTGAATCGTCTTATATATTTTGAGGATTACGGTCACATCATGTTGAAAAACAGGAATGTCACTAAATCGTCTTATATATTTTGAGGCTTACGGTCACATCACGTTGAAACACAGGAATGTCACTGAATCGTCTTATATATTTTTAGGCTTACGGTCACATCACGTTGAAACACTGGAATGTCACCGAATCGTCTTAAAGATTTTGAAACTTACGGTCACATCACGTTGAAACACAGGAATGTCACTGAATCGTCTTATATATTTTGAGGATTACGGTCACATCATGTTGAAACACAGGAATGTCACTAAATCGTCTTATATATTTTGAGGCTTACGGTCACATCACGTTGAAACACAGGAATGTCACTGAATCGTCTTATATATTTTGAGGATTACGGTCACATCACGTTGAAACACAGGAATGTCACTGAATCGTCTTATATATTTTTAGGCTTACGGTCACATCACGTTGAAACACAGGAATGTCACTGAATCATCTTATATATTTTGAGGTCACATTACTTAAACGGTCACATTATATTTTGAAACACCGAAACACAGGAATGTCACTGAATCGTCTTATATATTTTGAGGTTTACTTACGGTCACTTATATATTTTGAGGCTGGTCAAACAAACCGGAATGTCACTGAATCGTCTTATATATTTTGAGGTTTACGGTCACATCATGTTGAAACACAGGAATGTCACTAAATCGTCTTATATATTTTGAGGCTTACGGTCACATCACGTTGAAACACAGGAATGTCACTGAATCGTCTTATATATTTTGAGGCTTACGGTCACATCACGTTGAAACACTGGAATGTCACCGAATCGTCTTAAAGATTTTGAAACTTAGGGTCACATCACGTTGAAACACAGGAATGTCACTGAATCGTCTTATATATTTTGAAACACAGGATTACGGTCACATCATGTTGAAAAACAGGAATGTCACTGAATCGTCTTATATATTTTTTTTGAGGCTCTTATATATTTTGAGGCTTACGGTCACATCACGTTGAAACACAGGAATGTCACTGAATCGTCTTATATATTTTTAGGCTTACGGTCACATCACGTTGAAACACTGGAATGTCACCGAATCGTCTTAAAGATTTTGAAACTTACGGTCACATCACGTTGAAACACAGGAATGTCACTGAATCATCTATATATTCTTATATATTTTGAAACACTGATTACGGTCATCTTATATATTTTGAGGTTTACGGTCATGTTGAAACACAATGTCACTGAATCATCTAATATATTTTGAGGTTTACGGTAAATCGTTGAAACACTTATATATATTTTGAGGCTTACGGTCACATCACGTTGAAACACAGGAATGTCACTGAATCGTCTTATATATTTTGAGGATTACGGTCACATCACGTTGAAACACAGGAATGTCACTGAATCGTCTTATATATTTTTAGGCTTACGGTCACATCACTTTGAAACACAGGAATGTCACTGAATCGTCTTATATATTTTGAGGCTTACGGTCACATCACTTTGAAACACAGGAATGTCACTGAATCATCTAATATATTTTGAGGCTTACGGTCACATCACGTTGAAACACATGAATGTCACTGAATCATCTTATATATTTTGAGGCTTACGGTCACATCACTTTGAAACACAGGAATGTCACTGAATCATCTAATATATTTTGAGGCTTACGGTCACATCACGTTGAAACACTGGAATGTCACTGAATCATCTAATATATTTTGAGGTTTACGGTCACATCACGTTGAAACACTGGAATGTCACTGAATCATCTGATATATTTTGAGGTTTACGGTCACATCACGTTGAAACACCGGAATGTCAGTGAATCGTCTTATATATTTTGAGGATTACGGTCACATCACGTTGAAACACAGGAATGTCACTGAATCATCTAATATATTTTGAGGCTTACGGTCACATCACGTTGAAACACAGGAATGTCACTGAATCGTCTTATATATTTTGAGGCTTAAACGGTCACAATCATATATTTTGAAACACACAGGAATGTCACTGAATCATCTAATATATTTTGAGGTTTACGGTCACATCACGTTGAAACACTGGAATGTCACTGAATCATCTAATATATTTTGAGGCTTACGGTCACATCACGTTGAAACACTGGAATGTCACTGAATCATCTAATATATTTTGAGGTTTACGGTCACATCACGTTGAAACACTGGAATGTCACTGAATCGTCTTATATATTTTGAGGCTTACGGTCACATCACTTTGAAACACAGGAATGTCACTGAATCGTCTTATATATTTTGAGGATTACGGTCACATCACGTTGAAACACACGTTGGAATGTCACTTGAAACACAGAATCGTCTTATATATTTTGAGGCTTACGGTCACATCACTTTGAAACACAGGAATGTCACTGAATCGTCTTATATATTTTGAGGATTACGGTCACATCACGTTGAAACACCGGAATGTCAGTGAATCGTCTTATATATTTTGAGGCTTACGGTCACATCACTTTGAAACACAGGAATGTCACTGAATCGTCTTATATATTTTGAGGATTACGGTCACATCACGTTGGGTCACATCACTTTGAAAATGTCACTGAATGTCTTATACGGTCACATCACGTTGAAACACAGGAATGTCACTGAATCGTCTTATATATTTTGAGGCTTACGGTCACATCACTTTGAAACACAGGAATGTCACTGAATCGTCTTATATATTTTGAGGATTACGGTCACATCACTTTGAAACACAGGAATGTCACTGAATCGTCTTATATATTTTGAGGCTTACGGTCACATCACGTTGAAACACAGGAATGTCACTGAATCATCTTATATATTTTGAGGCTTACGGTCACATCACTTTGAAACACAGGAATGTCACTGAATCGTCTTATATATTTTGAGGATTACGGTCACATCACTTTGAAACACAGGAATGTCACTGAATCGTCTTATATATTTTGAGGCTTACGGTCACATCACGTTGAAACACAGGAATGTCACTGAATCGTCTTATATATTTTGAGGCTTACGGTCACATCACTTTGAAACACAGGAATGTCACTGAATCGTCTTATATATTTTGAGGATTACGGTCACATCACTTTGAAACACAGGAATGTCACTGAATCGTCTTATATATTTTGAGGCTTACGGTCACATCACGTTGAAACACAGGAATGTCACTGAATCGTCTTATATATTTTGAGGCTTACGGTCACATCACTTTGAAACACAGGAATGTCACTGAATCGTCTTATATATTTTGAGGATTACGGTCACATCACGTTGAAACACCGGAATGTCACTGAATCGTCTTATATATTTTGAGGCTTACGGTCACATCACGTTGAAACACAGGA